CGCCAACGCGATAACTTTGCAAATAAGAAAAGTATTTCAGTAGCAAACATTCAAGTGCAGATCCTCCAGGCCCTGCAGGTTCAACAGCGGGGGTGGAGGGTAGGAGGGAGGAGCTCTCAGTGGCACGTGATTGATTAAAGCCCAGACCAGACTCTTGGTACCAGGAGTTAAAACAGACATTCTGATTGGATAATTCTTGATAAGGTTTTGGCAGCAATATGGAAGCAAATTCAGCTTCGTGAAGTTGTCCCCCCTACAAACAGCACACACAATGAAACCCATTCGTTAGTGCTACGTTTGTCCCTTTGAAAGTAATTTCCCAGATTCTTTCTTTCCCGAGAAATAGCGCATTCTTTTTTGGGGTGTTACGTCACTCAATCCCCCCATAACGTCGTAGGGGAACCAGACTGGTCTCATTCATTAGGGCTGCGATTGTGCCGTTGAAAGTAAGTTCTCAGCTGCTTTCCTTCCTGAGATGTAGCGCCTTCTTTCTCGAGTGATCACGAGACCATGCATTATGACTTTGACCTCTGGTGATCCCGTCTGCCGAGATCAAGCGCTCTGAAACTGGTGCGAGAGTAACAATTCTGCAATTTTGTTTCTCTGTTTACCCACGTGGGTGGCGTTTCTGTGCGTTTGTGTGAACAGCAAAATTAAAATTGTCACCAATATCATACCCTAATCCGAACAGTTGTGGATGTAGCCTTAAAAGGCGCAACCGCAAAACAGCATTGGAAACTCTACAGTCTCTCACATGCAGACCACAGAAATTAGCCAACAAAGGTGCCTTTAATTACTTGATGTGTTGAAAAAAACGGGTATGCATTTTGAGAAATCTGAGTCTGGTGAGGTGGACGCTTTGCATTTCAATATAGCGCCTCCCTTTTTTGGAGTATGACGCGAATACAGAAAGATCACGACCATTAGATCTTTCAATTGTGATCTATGATAAGTTGACCCCAGCGTTTAGAGTTTCTGATATATTTTTTGCATTTTCCAGCGAAGACTTCTTTGAAAGCTTCATTTGTCGAGAACATTATGATTGTTACACATGCTAGTGAAACTTGAAAAATAATGTTACATTTGTCAATATAGATTACAATTGCAATTCGCGAGAAGATTGCACCGAAACAAATTGCACTCGTTGTTTTCAGTTTTCATCACATCGAGTAATTAATAGTACTGAGTGGGTTGGTACCTTTAAACTTTCTTGAAGACCGTCACGTGGTTACCCGAAAAAAACGCTATATCTCGTTAATGAAAGCAGCACAAACACAGCACTAACGAATGCAGTGGGTTTCAGTGATTGTGTTGTTTGCTTGGGGGGTTGACATCCCGGAGCTGGACAAGCAAACACGTCCTGGGTCATTACATTGCACATTGCAAAAGACACGATTTCAGCTTGGAGAAATATGACGACTTAACAAAGGCACTTTTATCTGTCTTCGGAAGTCAGGGTGTGCCCCAAACTGTATTCTACACCAAGTATTGACCAGAAATACACAAATCAAAGGACTGTGACCTAATGTTTGCATGTAAGAGCACTGTAAATACGAAGACATGGACAATGACTGACTTTTAAGACCTTCGATGTATATTCAGTTGTTTTAAATTAAATACAAATTGAAAATAAAAATATTTTCCAATATTTTCCATATTTTGCGGACTGCATGTGCGAGACGGTAGAGTTCCTAATGTTTTGCAGTTACGTTGTGAACTACCCGGGTCAACCGATAACTTCTTTTTAAAAAAGGACACAGCTACGAAAAATCGAGACGTGCTAGTTAGTCTCTTTCTAAGAACATGCAGTTGTTTGCTAATCTTCGCCTTTTATGGCTACATCCACAACTCTTCCGATTAGGGTATGATATTGGTGACAATTTAAAATGTTCTGATCACACAAACGCACAGAAGATACCGGTATTAAAAGCAAAAACAACTGCCGCCCCCTCCCCACCCGGACAAACAGAAACAAAACTGCAGATTTGTTACTCTCGCATGAGTGACAGAGCAGTTGAACTCAGCAGACGGGGTGACTAGAGGTCAAAGTCATCGTGCATTGTCGTGTGATCACCCGAACAAAAAATGCGATATATCTCGGAAACAAAAACAGCACAAACGCACAAATGAATGAGACCGATCCGGTTCCCCTTCGACGTTATAGGGGGCTGGACAAGGTCACCCCTCGAAAAGGAAAACTTTATATCTCAGGAACGAAAGAAGCTACTGAGATTCTAGGCTGCGATAAAAGAGGCGTATGCATATTGTAATCAAAGACAACGATGATTCTTTATGGTAAACTTAATTAAAAACCAGTTAAGTATTTACAGCAATCTTCATTTATTTCCCTTAATTTGTACACTGCAGCTCAACTTACACTATATATTACAATAGATACTGGCAGCCCTCAACGTCTTGTCCATGTGTGGGTTTTCTAATATATAAGAATCAGTCATAATTAAAACCAGGGATTCCTGTTGTGAGTGCAATACTCCAATTATGACAATCACGTGACTTCTCCAAGCACAATTTAGGAATCACCGGAAACTGGCAAGGATTTGTAACCAAATGCCTAGGCGTTGCTACGATTAATTTATTCTCCAGCAAAATTCTTTAACTCCACGATGTAAACATGCCACAAACATTGATCAGATTATTATTAAAGATAGTTTCGCATTTAATTTGAAGAAACACCGCCTCCTAATGAAAACGATTTATAATTAGAGTAAGATATATATATAGAATACCCCTGCCCAGTCGGTGCAAAGAAATTCCTAAAGATCTACTGATTTATGGATATAACATCTCGGCCATCTGTTGTTACTACTCCAGTTCGTCTATTCTATCGGATCCCGAATTTTCACCTGACGACGATTTGCGCTCTATTCATTTTCCGCAGGCCCTGCCTGCTGTTAGACGGCACAACCAATCCCCACACTCGTTACTTCTGGGCGTCTGTTTCCATGCTCTACGCCAATCAATGAGCAGCTTTTTGTCGCACCACAGAAACTGGGGCTGGTGGGTTTGTTTGGGTTTAAAGAGCTGGTTAGCGATCGGAAGGGGATGCGTAGGATTAATAGTCTCAAATAGAGTTTGTTTACTTAGGTTGCATTATCGCAGTTGTAATCTTATTTTTTCGGCGAAGAAATTATTAAATGCAAAACGATTTCATTTCAATATATAGTTGCATTTTGTTAAGACAATTGTTTATACAAATACGCTTTTGTAATTTGTAGTAGGAACTGGGTAGTTAACCTGGTCGGGCAAGCAGAATTTAAAAATTTTAAAAGATTTTTAAAATATGTTTTGAGCTGTGCATCAAAACATTTTGCGTCCTTGCAATTTGTTAAGATATACATAATTAGAATTGCCAGTTATCGTCTTGTGATGCGTGCAGAAATTGTCAACGAGCTTCAATACATTCGTGTATGCATAAACGTGTCGCGTTTTTCCTATTCCCTCTAATGTGTTTTTTTTAATCGGAATGTATTGCAAATTGGAAAACTGTGTGAAACAGCATACCGTTTATAAAAAGAAATCAGAAAGGTCTGGAACTGTCATTCGGTGGCGGTCTTCTACCGTGTACTGAAAGTCGTCTCTTAAAAAAACAGTTGCCTCAAAATAGACAAAAATAAAGCCTTGAAAAACACGAACCTGTTATAATAAGGAATTATAAGGCAGATATTGTTTACATTGCCTTCGGTACCTTCAACTACTTAACGAATCTCAGACCTGTGTCCTTCACATCACACTGAAGTAAAGGATAACGCATGTCAGTTTGAGTATTAATAAGTTCTATTGCAGTTATTTTTTTCTATTTTAATTTAAAAAAAATCGTAGTGAAGCATTTTAAGATTTTTTTATTTTAGGGAGGTCTTTTTTCGAAGAAAATCTTATACATTGCTTTATTTGTATGGGCATATATAACTGCAAATAATCTGCGACTCAACAGGTAACAATTTTGTTGATTTTTTTAACTGACTTTTTAAAAGCAAAGCGTCTCTTCATTTATATTAAATGCTTGTGTCTTTTTCAGTTTTCAGTTTTAAAGATGTCTTTTACTCAGGGAATCCAGTGGACTGTGAGAGAGATCATCATCAGTAAGTGGAATAATACGCCTTCTGTAGTTCTGATTAAGTAATTAAATTTTCTGTAAAATCATGTTTTTTTATTGTTCAGAACAACAAAAACGTCATCGGTACATGTAAGCTGTATTGCATGAAGGTGGTAACAGATGATGTGAATTCAATTATACCAAGAACCAAGTAGGTTTGTGATGTAATTCATTCGCCATTAAATAATATAAACCAATAAACAAATGTGGCAGTAAGTTTGCTATGGAATGAAGTTTAGTAGCAAGAAATAATGGTTAATATTAAATGTATTATGCCCCTAAAAAGTCAATATTATGAAATATCGTAATAAATAATGGATGTTTAGTTTTAAAGATAAGAATTATTTTATGTTTTTGCAAGGAGTAACATCTTATTTTTACTACTAATAAAAGTGCCTTGGTCTCAGAAATGAAGCAATTTGTAAGAATTTTAATGAAAACCATGTATGCTAATACCAAAGACACTCAACTTAATAAAATATATATAGATGTATAACTGTTATAATACTAGTTTAACTGCAGTTAGCCAGATTAAAATATTTTTTTTTCTGCATGTGAAGAAATAGTTAAGCTTTAAATGTGAAATCAAATGTGTTGAAAAGGCTGAAATCTCATGTCTCCCTATCTGTGTGTCTCATGGAGAGCAGGTTGGGTATGAGAAAATACAAATTCCTAATACAAGAAATTGTATATGGCCAACAAAGTGATCTTATATCTTATTTAAATGTCTTTAATTTGCCTCGCAAGAGGGAAGCAAAGTCTTACATCAAGAATTGGTATAGTAATGAGTATCATTCTACATCTTCATAGTGAAGAAAATGAAATGGAAGATGAAAGAGATTAAAAATGTTGACTTTAAGATTGTATGGTCTTCTTGATTCTATATATTACCCTCCAAAGTTGGAGTTCATTTGGTAAATGGTTTGTCAGGAGCAGTTTAAAATCTATTAATAATTAATTTCACTTATGTAGTGCTTTTTTTATTTCAAATAATCCCAGAGCAATTTACATATTCAGTGCCTATAGAAATTCTACACACTTTCCAAACTAATACATAATAAAATGAAGATGCAATCAATCCGAATTTTTTTACTGTGATTTATACATTGTAACACAGCCTCCTAGTGAAAACTGTTAAGACATTCTGAAAAACGATTACATGGTGTTTGGATACAGTTAATTACAATTGGAATTCATTGTTCTAAATTAGTTTTTGTAATGTTCAGATTGTGAAAAATGAATAATTGTTCATAACAACGATAATTCTAATGTCTGAACAATAATTATATAATTACAAACATAGTAATTACATATCTGAACATAATTACAAACGAATACCTAGAAAAATTTTTTAAAGACTTTCCATGGGCTTTGTTGGAAGGGACCTCATCAATCAATGAAAGACTGCACTCACCTGGTTGAAGCATAGTGGTTAGTTTCAATGTTCACATTAGTATGGTACCATTGGTGGTCTGATGTACATCTTAAATTATGAATGTACAGAATTAATTATTTTTATCCTGGCATATCAAGCTGTTATTAACTGGCATAATAGTGGAGTTAAATACTTAAACTACGTTAGAGCAGATGGACTTTGAAATCTGTGATCAAAATGGCAGTTAGGTGTCTGATGCCTTGGTTAACAAAGAATTCCCATTTTTCCTTATTTTAATTGTATGGTCACTGGAATTATTCCTAACAATTTTTGGTTATATTGGCCAAACTGCTTGAGCATGCAGGAGCAAGGCCCATGTTTCAAAAAAAGTGGTGACCTCTTGTGGATGTACGATTTTTCACAGCAACTAGCAAAGTGCAAATGTGAAACAGGTTTAGTTATTGATTAAATATATTTAATATTAGTTCATTTTGGTTCCAGTTTCTTTTAAGAAGATTTTCAAATACAAGGGTCAGGCTGCCATTTTGATTGATGCAGGACCATTGAAAAAACAATCACTGCAATTACTACTTCTAAGTATTGAATCTTTTTGTCTACCATTATTGAAGTGTTGATAGCTGCAAAGTGAGTTAAATCAGCCAAAAGATTTACGAATGGTACACAATCCTATTGGGATATACAACATCACCATTTGTGATATAAATCTTTATTGATAAAATAGGTTAGGTCTTCACAAAAGCTACTACAAAAATATTTTTTTTAAAGTCTCAAACTTTTAAATTGCATATACTGTTTGAAGCCTCTTAGCCTGCTTCATATTTTAAAGTAAATAATGGAATCTGAGAAACAGTTGTTATTCTCTATTATAATATGAGTGTGCATTTAGTGGCAGTTAAAGTTTTGATACTGTTAATTACTGCTTCTTGTCATCTTATGTTAAAACTGTGGTTTAGTTTCTGGTACATCCACAAAGACTTAGTTGTGCTCTCTGGGCACATAAAAAATTAAAATAGGGGGTAAAAGGAGATTCTCAGGTTATATATCTTATTTTTCCAAGAAATCAGTTCATTTTAGGATAGTAAAATATACTTTATTTCAATGGTTCTCGACCTTTTTTTGCTGAGGTACCCCCTGGAGGGTCAGCCAGGTCCTCAGGTACTCGCTATGATTATTGTAGACATGCGTACATGTGCTGTATTATAGTGGAATAATAAAAGTGCATATATCATTTAGCATCTAAATGATTTCAGAATTAGCTGATAAATATTGTACTAAAAGCTAAGGACATTAAAATCTGCCATTTTGGATGTGAAGCCCGTGGTACCCCCTGGTACATCTTCAGACACTCCCAGGGGTGCGTGTACCCCTGGTTGAAAACCACTAATGTATTTTACCAGACCTTGAATGTCTCGTCGGTTTCCAGCATAGTTCATAAGGGTAGTTGAAATCTTACAGTACATGGATTTTGAATTCTGTGAGATGAGGAAGTTGTATCTAAGTAATTCAATATTGTATTGGCAGGAGCTTTAATCATAGCAACACTGTTTACTTTAAAGGTTTGCTGGTGCTCTGATAAAAGACTGAAACCTGAGAGTCTATCTATGACTAACCAGTGTATAAAAGTGTCTTTTGTGTTGGACAGCATGTACTGTATAAATCAGCTTCTGTGCATGGCGGTTACATTTGTGTTAAGTGTGGAATCTAACCAAAAGTTCTGTTTCCATACAGTCTAATAACATCACCTTTTTCCATTAGCAACGGTTTCTTAGAAGAAGTGATGTATATGGAATTTTACTACTGTGTGAACACCAAGGCCTGAAACAGTAATTGAATGAGCTTTACCTTTGAAGTTGTATCATGAAATTATTCTGTGAATGGAGACAGTGACAGTGTTGTTGATGTCAGTGTTACTTCAGGAAAGTTGAAAGTTGAAAATAATGCTTTTTTTACTTTGGACTGACTAACTTGAATTATATTTTATTATACAATACTTGATTAAATGTTAGTGTGGCCTGGGTTATTTGGTTACACTAAAGATGAGAGCCCAGTGTCATTATGTCATTAACCATCAATGCAGGAAGGACATCTTTTGGTATATGATGTCTTTTTCATGGGAGCAGGAAATGTTTATTACTGTTTATCAATATTACTGTTTCAAAATGTTTGCTCAGTATGTTGTAATGAACATTTCTCACTTTGTAGAAGGTGAAATTTGTTTGCAAAATTCCCCATATTGCATTCAACTTGATATGGGTTCTCTCATTTGATGTGAGTTTAGAAGAGAATGCTTATCTAAGAGCCCAGGAGATTTTCTTACCGATATGTAAGGCAGATTGAATATGAGAAGTTTTGAATGAACACATAAAATCTCCTGAGACAGTAACTGCTGCTTTCAGTGACAAATATTTGATGACACTTTTAAGAGTAAATTAATGTAGTAAACCCCTTTAACTCATAATACATTAAGAGAATATTAAACAGCAGTGTCAACAGCCTTTTACTAGCGATCCTTATTAACTAAAGTCAGATATGTTTCACGAATACTTTGTTAAAGGATACTTCACTATTAACTGTTACATACTTGCAAAACGTGATAATACTGTACTATAATTGGTTTGACTCTAGTATTTAAATATAATATTTAATGGGTGATTATCATTTTCCCCTCTTTACTAGAATTAATTAGTGTTTTTTAATTAGTGAACAAAAAAGTGTGATTTAGCTATATAGAATGTGGAATGGTTTATGTCAGTGAATTTTCATATAAAATGGACGACTGTAAAATGTTGACTAATGTGATACAGCTTTTTCTTTTAATAAATTGTTTCGCTCTGTACTGCATTAGACCTGTGAAGAAAATGTTCAAATTAAATACAGTTACTTGTCCAGTCATTCATCCATTTTTTGTTCACATTTAATAATAAGGTTCACAGCAGCATGTTAGTGTTCTCTCCAGAATATCCTGGTTTGGCCAGTAAGTTAGTTCCAACAGAAGCTTCCCAGGGTGTGCACCTTTACCAGGGGCTAGTCTGGAGGAGTAGTGAATGTACTCCAATGTCATGGAGCATTAACTCAGCAGCCATGCAAATAATTCTTATTTCCACTGCATACTGTATATCCATGAACTTGCCCTTTCTTCCACTGCCCAAAGATCATGGCTGTAGTCGAGGATTTGATCTGTAAACAGGGCACTTTGTCTGATGTCAAGGACTGGCAACACTGCACACACCAGTCTGTCAGCCATTTTCACACTCTATATGCCATCACTCGCCAATGGAGGAACACTGAGGCACTTGAACTCTTTCACCTAGGGTAGATTTTCATCCCATCCCATTTTCATCTGGAGTGAGCAAGCCACTTATTTTTCTGGAAACACTGACATCTCAGAATGGGAGTTATTGGCTCTAATCTAAGTCACTTCACAGATTTACTGAGTAGTGCATCCAATACCAGTCAGACGAGGCAAGAAGAGCCACATCATGTGCAAACGACAAAGATGCTACCTCCAGGGACCCAGGAATACTGTTAGCACTTCGGCTCACCCACAGGTGTGGGGACAGTAGACACATGACAGAATCCAAAGGATTGTTTAGCATGCAGAGGTGGCAGGAGCAGCTTTCATTCTTGAAGCAGAGGTCCCACAAGTCATCTCAAGGAATGAGGTTTCATGCTTTCTCCGGTCTACAGAGGTAGATCAGATTAGCAAATGCCGGTGTCTCCTTAAATACTTGTGAAGGCACAGGACTGGTGCACCAGGCAGAATTTGCACTTTTTTTCCTGAATCGGATCTTCAGTTAATGCACAGATGTTGTGTCCAGAATGGTGTGGACTGAAAATAAGATATCTTAAAATTATAAATAGTTGTGTTTTTTACTAGCCATAAAAAAGGGATGCAGAACTGCTGAATGGGCAGGCTGAGGAGTGTGATCCCCATATAGTTGGAACACAACCTCTTACCTGCAGTTCTCGATAAGAAATGTTTTGCCATTAAATTGGCACATATTTACATTTACAGATTATTTAGGAGTACCCTCCATCATGCACATTTTTGGAAAACAATAGAATTAAATCATTTGGGAAACCTACTAAGTAAATGTATTTAATTATATTGCTACAGCTCCTTAAGGGTGTAATTTATTTGGTTAGTAATTGTCTTCATCATTCTGTGTAAGAATGTATGGTTAGTTTGTTACATTTTGGTTATGTATTATGTTTTAATTGTATTTTCAGATGTGAAGATTAATTTGACCTCTGTTGTGCTGGGGGAGAAATGAAGCTGCTCTGGAGTTTCTTCAAGCACAGTGTACAGACATGGAGTTCCGGTTTGGCAGCTTGATTTTCAGCTCCAAATTTGACTCTGGGAATTTGGCCAGGGTTGAAAAAGTAGAACATCCAGAGCTTGAGGGGGACCCGGCTATTAATGGGAGCACTTCATGTGGGGGGCTGGGAGCACCCCTCTCTACTCCCGACTACGAGTTCAATGTTTGGACTAAGCCAGACTGTGCGGAAACAGAGTTTGAAAATGGGAACAGGTAAGGCTTTGTGCATATGCAATGGTATCTCAAAAGATATGTTCCCAACTCGCATTGCGGGAAAATGATTTCAGCGGCCTTAATACTTTCAGGATTTATTTGAAATTTGGAATTACATGCTGGCTTTCCCAGAAGCGATGAGGTCAGTGATTGATTTTTGGAGCAGACAAGTGGTAATATGGAAACCGTGCCAGGCACTAATGCTCTTATTATCTACATTACCTCATAGCATGACACAGAAATGCTTTCAGAATGTGACATTTTAAGGTCTACTTCTGAAATGGAGTGAACTGAAGCATCAAATGCTTCCAGTTGTATTTTTCATAAGATTTTTGCAAAGACCTATACAGACTATAGTGTTCGCTGGGTCAAAAGATTTATTATAATGAGAGCAATAGATTTTACATTGAATTAAAGCCAGACTTCCTTGTAGTGGTTGCTAAGAGAAAACAACATGCTTGGAAAATGAAATTTTAGTGATGTATTTATGCTTTTTCATAATTTTTTGTTTATCTATAATAAGCCTAGTTCATTATAGTTATGCTCTTTTTTTTTTTTCATTAGTCCCTTACTGGGTTAAAGGTTTTACCAGTGTTCACAGTGTGTTACATAAATATTAAAAGATAATGTGTTTTGATTCTTATGAGGTAATATAATTGGTGCAAGTTTAAACAGGTAAACGCCTGCTTGTCTCTGCTGCATTATGTTTGTAAATAATTGTAGGGTACGTTATTACTAAGTTATCACAGAATGCATCAAAAAAGCTGTCCCAGTATTTGACCTCCAAGACAAAAACTAGAGACACAAGATAGATACTGTAGGAATAACAGACTGCAAGAACATTTTGTGCTTCCCTTTCCTTTGTTGGATGAAATAGGAGTCAGAGCTTCTGGTTTGTGTTTGTATAATAAGTTGGTAGATGCAGCTATAGTACACTCATCCGTTATATTAATGTCACTGATATAATTATGATAATATAAATGAGAAGAGGGTACTGCAGCACTATATAGAAATTTATTTCTGATCCAGAGATATTGAGTAGTGCCCTTTAAATTAAAGTAGCATCTAGCAATGGGAATGCAGAACAGAAGACCTTCTGGTATTTGTATTGTTTGTTAAAGCCTGGGTGGGTTCGCTTACAAACTCTTGGACTGAAATTTTATATGATTTCTTTGTTGACCTTTGCCACTTCTATGCTTTTAGTGTATTTTTTATAACCCTTTTGTTACCTGTAGAGTGTGAACAATCTGAGAGGACCGACATTTGACTCTGGCTTTAAAAAAAGAGCAAAAAATGGCAGATATTTTTATACTTTTGCACAGGTCCTGGTTCTATTTCAGTGTTCGGGGTGGAACCCCTGGAAAGCTGATTAAGATCAATGTTATGAACATGAATAAGCAGAGTAAACTGTACTCACAAGGGATGGCACCTTTTGTCAAGACTATACCTGTGAAAACTCGATGGGAAAGAATCCGTGATAGACCCACATTTGAGGTGAGGAATAAAAAATGTACTTTTTTTGCTCAGAAAAAATTGTGCTTCAGAGTCCAAATGAAATTATCGAACTGGAAAACAAGTGATGGAGTGAAAAAAGGAACAACGGCATGTTAAAGCTTAGTATAAGGATATATCTTTAGGTGGAGTGTAACTTTGTACATTTATAAAAAAACTGAATGTTTCAGTAAGTGAGATGAAAATAATTGTAGCCCAGGATTAATATTAGTTCTCTTTTAATGTTAATTTTTGTTTAAAGTTACTGTAACTAGCGATTATGGTTGTTATGGTATGGTATGTAACTAATTTCAGAGAAAAGTACGGACTGTGTAAGCATGGCATTCCTCAAAACTAATTTGTTACTAAATTGTACATTGCACAAACAGTTCTGTTGTGAAAAATCTTTGGCTCAGTAGTTAGAAGTATGTGATGAAATACATACTGAATGTAAATGCCAAAAGCCTCATGATAACCTAAACAGTTGGTGCTGCCTTGTGCTGGATTACTGTATTTTCTTTGCACAGATGGTGGAAAACCAGTTTATCCTGTCATTTACCCATCGCTTTCTCGAAGTCCGTGGGGCCACAACCTACTTTGCTTTCTGCTACCCATTTTCATATGGGGAATGCCAGGACTTTTTGCTTCAACTGGATCATAAGTTTGCGAACTCCATGTACTTGAATACTAACAGGTAGGACTGTAGAACCTAATATTTGTTTTTGCAGTTATAGTTTTCTACAATTACCATTCATTTTTAGTGAATAACGTGGTCAGAGATTAAAGCAGTTTGTCTTGTTGGTATGGTCCTAGACTTCACAGCATGTTCTTGGTGTAATAGTCGTCGATAATTTGTTACCAGAATTGATTGATGGTGAAATATATTTTCTGGAAAATAAAACTTGAATTTACTGTTAAGATTTTAATTTTCCATTTGTGCAAGTAGGGCATTCCCTTTCTGCTTATGTGATCCAGTGCTTTTAAATTCCAAAGTAACAGTTTAATCCCTACAGTTCTTATGTGCTTGTCTCAGTCCTGCAGATTCTATATATTACCATCGTGAGCTGCTTTGCTACTCCTTAGATGGCTATCGTGTTGACCTCCTGACTGTCACCTCCTGTCATGGAATGATGGAAGAACGGGAACCAAGGCTTGAAAAGCTGTTTCCTGACAACCGTACCCTTCGCCCTCACAGATTTATGGGAAAAAAGGTAAGAAAAAAATCATTTTTTGGCTCCTAACCAAACATTTTTCTCCTTTGAAACTTTTTTTAACTATGCTCTGCTGATCATTGATATAGATTGACATTTAATCAGCTATATGATCAAATATTTAGCTGAATTTCAATATGCGATATCATGAAGGAATTATCCAAACCATTTTTTTGTTTTTGTTTTTTGTATAAAGATTTGTAACTCTTGGCTTTAATGTGTTTTGTCTCTAGGTCTTTTTCCTCAGTAGTCGGGTTCACCCAGGGGAAACACCATCGAGTTTTGTGTTCAATGGATTTCTGAACTTCATCCTGAAGCAGGATGACCCCCGGGCCCAGATGCTAAGGAAAATGTTTGTTTTCAAGTTGATCCCAATGCTCAACCCAGATGGAGTTGTGAGAGGTCACTACAGGTGACGTTTGTAATTGAGATTATAGCACTCGCAACTGAACCCTCTGTGACTGATGTGATTTGCTTTTCTTTTTGAAAAGCAACATTTTATTTGTTCAAAAACTGTTTTGTTAAAGGTTTTAGTCTGCATAGGTGTATTTTGTAATAAATTCACAAATACCTTTTATGTTGTGGGTACTGTGAAAAAGGATCCTAAATTTCAAGGTCTCCCTATCAGTTGTATAACAATGAATTTGGTGTGATATTATAGGATGTTTACTTCTGTTCTGGAATAATAAGAGTTAATAACCTTTTTAGTGTAGCAAGCAGTGTGGGATTGCAGAGTAATGTTTTTTTTTATTTAAATTCCAAATTTATGTTTATGCCGTCATGTACAACTAAGCTTACTACTTAGAAGTAGACTTTCTGGTCCAAAGCCCTTAACCACCACGGATCAGATGGTTTTGGAGAGTTGCCTGAACCTCCAGTCAATCGTGGACATATTCTGGGATTAAAGTGCATGCGCAGTCTAAGTTCATTTTTTACCACAAGACCCGTACCATGTCTCCTACAGTATGTTACTGAAACACCAAGAGTAGGCATAAGACAGGTCCTGTGAACTAGTCATACCATATTCGCCACACCAACCCTTATATGAGCATGTCCTCTGAAAACACGGCCAGATTAATGTGATAATTAACACAATGCTTAACAACCCAAAGTCAAGATAGTGGTGAAGTTGTACTGCATGAATTCAAACCAGGACTGCTGCGGTATATTAAAATAGATGAGCTAATCATTAATTAAATTAATGCAAACAAAGGTTTATGGAGAAATTAGGAGAAAATGGTTGAAAATAAAGAATTAGAAAAGTACAAATTGCTACGTTATAGATCAGTGTTAATAAACTAATCCTAATTCAAGGCAAAAGGCATAAAGTTACATTAAACTCTCATTAAGATAACTATTTTATGCTATGGGGCATTGAACCCAAGCACAAGGTGAATGCAACCTATTCGTTTAGGTGTGCAAATGAGAGCGCTTAGTATGTTCCCATTGCTTATATTCTGCATAGTGAGGAAGTAGGCATCACCTGATCTGGGAGGATTTGTCAATGTGACGAGCTGTGTGACTCACCTCAGGCGCTGATATATCATTCCTGTGGAGCACAAGTAGATGAGTTACTGGCTGGTGAGGGTGGAGCAACATGTCAGACTTTGCTTCCCCGATCCAGTTGAGCTCCTTAGTCTACTTCTTCTTTGTCTACAAGTTTGATAATTAGAGTTCAGAACTGCTCATGTTTTGCCCATTCACTTGATACCAAATAAGCATAGTCCACGTCTTCCTGAAATAATTGTGATGCCTTATATTTTAATTGAATATTTTAAGTTTACCCTTTTGTAAGGGAATGAGGTATGTGATGTGGCATTACATCCAGTACTTCATTCTGTCTTTTATGAATAAGGAATGAAGGATACTTTTTATTAGGTCTAAATTCTGATTTCCCATACAAGCAGTGGGAGGGGGTTTGTACTTCATTTAGCCACTAGGGGGGTGACTCAGTTTTCCAAACATGGACCCTCAATCGATGTGGATGTATCAGAATAATCTGTTTTCTAAATCTAAATCCTTTCAAAAATGCTTGTTACAATCAGAATTCTGACCGTTTCATCTGTTTTTCAATAAATTACTGTTTAATTTAAAACCAAATAAGTGATATCTATGGGCACGTGCTTGGATATCCCTTGTTTCTTGAGAATTAATGCAGTTGGTTATGTTTCTTTTGAGTATAACCATGTGATTTCATAATTTAATATAGAATGATAAAAGATGGTGTTTGTAGTACATACAGTAGGATATATATATATATGAATGATTTTAAAGTATGGTTGCACTTAAGCTTAAAAACATCCTTTCTTGAATTTCCTTAAGTATTGGCCCCAGATTTATTACCTTGTGTCTGGTGTTGAGATCTCTTCTCTTGACGTCCAAATCACCAGACCTACTTTGTTCATGGCCAAATGATTTTATGGCCATGTCTATTCTACTCTAATCTCTCCTTGACAGAGAGGTTCATAGTACTATTAGCCTTTGTGAAGCCACAAGGAATAAATTCCCCATAATTAGAGATGCAGGCATGCAGACTTACTTGTTAGTAAGAAATGAATACAAACATCTTAATATCAAATTGTATGACTTACAGCACATGCACCTACAGAGCTTCCTAATCACAGAAGATAATTAACTGAAAGTTGAGTGGTACCACATTTGTGTTCTTTTTTTGTCCAGTGAGAATGGAATAAATGTTTTGCTTTTTGCCGGGCTGAACTTGCATGAAGTTCAAGTGGAATACATCAAGTAGAATGCATCACAGTGTGAAAAATGTCCAAAGGTTTGAAGTACACTTCTTACTTCTTACAATTATTGGTTCTTCATGTTGTATAACTACCTAAAACCGGATCGGGAGAAAAAAACTTTGGCCATCATTGACTCTGTTGTCTATGATGGCCAATGTTTGGCACTATCTGCAATGAGATATTTAGCTACAGTGTGATAAATATTTTATATGCTGCCTCATTGGCTGGGATATAATGGAAAATTAGGGTACTGGACACTTTTCAGAAATCATTCATTTCTTGTTTTTCGAGTTTCACATTTATATACTTGATTTCAAATTATAAAAGTTGGATTCAATTCAGGAGTCAAACTAAACTTTTTTTTTCATTTTATTAGAACTGATTCCAGAGGTGTAAATCTCAATCGCCAATACCTCAATCCCAGTTTTGAACTCCATCCCTCTATTTTTGGTGCCAAAGCAGTTATACTGTACCATCACCTGCACAACCGCATTGGACCAGACTCTCCAGACTGGAGGACATTTGTGTCTCCTCTGTCATCCAGCTTGCTAAGCACAAAACCCTCCAATCATTCCAGTACCAACTACTTGTTTTCACTGGAGGCCCCTCTGACAGAAATGGAAAAGTGCAACAACCTCAGAAATGAGGAGGAGCATTATGAGGGGGATTTCTTTACTTGTGTGGAGAAATCGGAGCAATCAGAAATCCCAATGCTAACAGAAGAGAACAGGACAGATACGGCCTCAGAATGTCTAAATAAAGGAGAGGCTGAGGGGAAGATTGATGGAGAAGGGATCTGTGGTAGCGAAGAACACTGCGATGAGAACTATATTCTGAAGATGGCAACGGCTTCTGGTCTCTCTGAACACATTCCCCCACAAGAGAGTGGCATAGCTTACTACATTGACCTACATGGACACGCGTCCAAACGAGGCTGTTTCATGTATGGAAACAGCTTATCTGAGGAGAATGAACAGGCAAGTGCAATGGCTGTATTTCCCTTTAAATCACGTTTGTTGTTATGATCTCTCTCCTTGTGAGTGATGAACACGACAGCGTATGATGGTGAGTTACTGCATACTGCAAGTCCTTTAGCGGAATGAACCTGTTGTGCAGCTACATTATGATGGTGCTGTGGTGGAGTAGCTTCGGTCTTTTTCTTATGCTGTCCAAAATATAAAATATTTCCATGCCAAAGTACTGTAAATCAAAGATTACTTGTTTATTTTTTTTTAAATTAAGATCAAAATACTTTCAATTTTTCATTAGTTTTTAGCTGATCAGTTGAAAGGGTGTTTCAGATTGTGAAAATGTTAACCAGTTTAATATGTAAGAACATTTGCAAACAAGAGGAAGTCATTCAGGCCATTTAGGTATTTAGGATCACATCCAGCTATTTTTTTTAAGTACCTGACATGGCTAGGTAGCTTATTTTTGGCATAATCCTCGGGGTACATTTTGGAATTTAAGCTCTGCTCTTTCATAGTATTCTAATATGTATTCTTGTATCAGTTTTATGCTTGTATTTGAATAGTTGTCCTGTATTTTAAATTAAACCAGGTGGAAAACCTTCTATATCCAAAGCTGATCTCGATGAATTCAGCACACTTTGACTTCATGGGCTGCAATTTTTCTGAGAAGAACATGTATGCCAAAGACAAGAGAGATGGGCAATCGAAAGAAGGAAGTGGGCGTGTAGCAATTCATAAAGCCATAGGGCTGATCCACAGGTATGGCAAAAATATTAGCAATCTAAAGACAAGTCTGAAAACCTACTCAGGATCCCTTTCTATAGGTTGCCGTTGTGTTTTTTTTATAGTTTGAAGGCAAATGTGTTAAACAGCAAAATATCTCATGGAAGAATCCATGCTTTGCTCTTGTACCAAAATAGCATGGTTTCTGTAGGTAAAGGTATAAGCTTAAATTGGAGTCTCGTCATTTGCGTTGCTTTAGGCTAAGGATTTTTTCGTCCTTATTCTATAATTTAGAAATATATTTTTAAGATGCTTAGTTTATTTTTGTTTTTAAAATTCTTAATTTAAAATCATTAATATGAGCACAGCTTTATTTTCTTAAGATTTTAGAAAATTGTAAGTTTTACTGTGGTAGAGAACTTATCTGGGCCTTGAGACAGGTTTGTTTTCCTGTTCTGTCTAGTTATACCTTGGAGTGCAATTACAACACTGGCCGCTCTGTGAACACAATTCCTCCAGCTTGTCATGATAATGGCAGAGCAACGCCTCCCCCACCCCCTGCTTTCCCTCCCAAATATACTATCGAAGTGTTTGAACAGGTATGTACTAGTGTTTAGTATGTGATGTATCATGTATCAAACATGATAGATAACACAAATTGTTGAATTATTTTTGTTTGTTTCAACAGCTTGGTTATGTAGGTTTTCCTAGACATCTGTTGCCCTGGGTAAAGGTGTGCATGCTGTTTTCAGGCTTACATGACTCTAATGACCGCTAATGACCCTAGGTCTGTGTTTCTGAGCATTCATGTGTTGCTGAGCATTCTGGAGTTATCAGTATTGTTTATAATTTAGGTGCAAATAAATGAATTCTTTCTTTGTTGAAAATACTGTAAAGGATTGCAAAGTTAATTGTTTTCTTAAAACGTCCGAAATTAGTTATTTTCTTAGATACAAAAAACTAAAAATATTTGTTCATACTTAGATATTGGATAATGTAAACATCTGGGAACCAATAGCAATGACTTGATTTTGGTAAACTTTACGTTTACAATATAGTTCTTTACGTACAGTAATTGCTTGTAAATGTCTGAAGTTGAAGACAAAGCTTCCTATTAGGTTGGCAGGGCAGTTGCTGTGGCAGCTCTGGACATGGCTGACTGCAACCCCTGGCCTCGCATCATCCTGTCTGAGCACAGCTGTCTCACCAACCTGCGCGCCTGGATGCTGAAGCATGTTCGAAACAGCAAAGGCATGATCTTCACTTCTAAGAAAAACAGCACAAAGGCTTCTCCTAAGGGAGCCACAGCGTAAGCACATTTCTGTATATGTTCACGTTAAAATATTCTGTTTATTTTAAAAATCCAGAAAATTGTTATTCAGCTAAAATGTTCAGTGATATCTGAATTTCAGTTTTTAGTTCTGGTTTGTAATTGTCAAAGTGCTGACTGCTCCAACACTTGCTTCAGTATGGGTGGGTTGATGAGCTTTCAAGCTTCTGTCTGAGACGTGCACTGGAATGTGCTGGGTTAAAGTGTCTAATTTGCCATTCTTCATTCTGCGAGTCCCATGGAGCTCACAGAGAGCTACCGATTTCTTTAGTTAACATGTTCATCTCCTCATTAATGAACCATTGTGATAGAACACGTTTGGTAAAAGATCAGGCTGAAAGAGCTGCGAACTGTGGTTTCAGGGGTCTGACGAGCTCTGCCTCGGAGAACTCCCTTAGTCGGACCAGGAGTAACAGCAATGGAACAACCAGTGGGAGCAGCAGCAGCCAGCAGAACTCCCCACAGCTCAAGAACTCGCCCAGCTTCACTTTTGGCTGTAGTCAGGGGATCAGTAGGTCAGCCTGCCCTCCACCCTCCAACTCAAGTCTTCATAAAACAAATAACAGGGCTCTGGGACCAGTGAGAGGTAAGCTGGTTGAAGGGCTGTGTTGGGAGAAGGCAGGATGCTTTTTGAAGTACATGTGGGCCTGCTTGGGAATTTCAAAAACAGTCTAAATATGATGTATGCGTTCTGCAAAAAGAAAAACCCAGACTTGAAGGTGTTTCAAAGTGTTACCACTAAGGAAAAAGCCAGTAGGGAATGGTTTTGAAATCAACATGTTGGTGTTTTTGTTGTCTTATGACTAACTGCATATGATAGCAATTACGATATACAAAAAGATGTAATCCTTGTCTACTTTTTTCTGTTGCCAAATTTGTAATGTGGAGAATCGTTTCTGGTACTGTTCCTTCAACTTATTTATGGGATAACCAAATGCAAGTGTTATAAAAATATAGAGAACTGTCAGAAGAAGAATTGAAATGTAAGCACTTGGTATGGCACAGATAAATATGGGCTTAAAAAGGTAAAATATAGTTATAAATTAGAGTAAAAGCCTTTGGTGGAGTTTATTTAAAATTTTGTGGTGTGTGAATAATCAAAAGTAAGTGTTGCTTGTGCAGTAAAGAAATCAGTGAGCATGTCCTTCCTGAGTTTTTTCTCAACTTACTTTTAATATATACAATGTCTTCATGCATATAAATGTGTTTTGCATTTATTGTTGTCATCCAAACCCAGCTTGTCAGATGAACGCTTTCCTGCTAGTGACTGGGAAAATTGGAACTACTTTTAAACTGAGCTAGGATGGCGTTTCATTTAATGGAAAGGATATGTAAGCGGTGGCTATGTTTGTAATGTTGTTTATATCAAATCATGGTAGACTACATACTGAACCTAAATACTTTATCAAAATAAAATGAAAACCACTGTACTTAACTGAAAGGCTTTTACATTGCTTGATTGTGGGCCTCAACCCCAGTTCCTGCTGATTCTCTGCTCTGTGTTCTCTTGTGCCATCTCGAAAGTGTCTCTTTATATTTCTGTATAGAGTCTAAAGCACAGGAGAAGAGACGCCCACACCACCGGTCAATGCTAAAAACAGCTGCAAGCAGCCCCACCAGCCACCAGTCCTCCCCAACCCATCCTTCGCTTTCTCCCTCCTCTTCCTCAGTCTCCCTGGGATTTTCCAAGATCACCTCCTCCCCTCAGCAGCAATCCGGCCTCGGCCCTTGTTCCATCCCAGCTTCCTTCAGCATGGCAGGTCTGTATTCTCTCCAGCCTCCCAGCCTCTCCAAGCTCCTCCCTTCTCTCCAAGCTATGCCCAAGTCAAACCTCCTTAACAAGGCCTTAAGCAAGCGGCTAACCCCCTTGCTTCACCCTGCCCTACCACCCCTGGGCTTTCTAAATGACAGAACAACCAGCCTGGGTTCAGGGAATAATTCTGGGAACCAGACAGGAAGGTCTAGTAAACACTGAATGGATCAGTAAAAATCATCCCAGTTAAAATAGGTAGATCATAGAACACTTTTTGCGAGTTAAGCTTGGGTACAAAGGACAGGGTCGGGGGCAAGATTCATCTTCAATGTCGTGATATTTCACCTTAGAAATACCAAGTAAAAATTGAAATTTTGTATATATCTATCTCAGAAGCTCTTCTCAAGTATTTTGCCAAACATGGCTTGATGAAGAGAAAGTTCCATTTTTTAATTTAACAGGACTTAGTGTTATTTTTAGTTGTACCTTATCTTCCTTGACCTTGTGCTCAAACTGATCTTACTTTTTTTTTGTTAAACAAAGCTAAGTTGGAAACTCTATAAGTGCAAGTGTGAATAAAGTTTTGAAGCAATTAACATTTTTCTGTTTCAAAGTATTGATACCTGTTGAGATATAATGGAGAAATGAGAAGTGCAAAACTGAATTGTCTGAACCTAGGCTTCTGATTCAATCTCTTCTTCCTCTGCACTGCTACAAGTTTCTTGAACATGTACTTACAATGGTCTATAGTCCACTAGAATCCTGGCTATCTTTGGAACTAAGCCTTTCCAGATTAAAAGTCAAAAGAACCTAGCAAGTATTAAAGCAAAAGGTTCAAATCCTACAATAGATACATGTGCTGCTCTGGTCCTAGCATACAGTATAATAGAACAAAGTACAACTCAAGGAGGATCTATAAGAGCACAAGTCATTTTAACTTTTATTGCTGCTACATTTAGTGTTTTGCAAGTTGCCTTTCTTTTCCAACATGATGCAGTACTAAGTATTGTTAGTATAGTTCAGTTGCCAAACATTTTTGTGCTATATTATATATAATTCTGCATTTTTTTTCCAATTTTCCTCCTTTTCAGAGCTTGCTTCTAATTTTAATATTTTTAATCCCATTGTACAGTAAACACTACATATATATGCATATATACATAATAAAAAGGGACAGCTTATGTAAAAGAGACACACATTAAACATTTTTTTCAATCTCTTCAACCATGTCAAAATATAGCATTAAAGCAACCGATAGCTGAACTTAATTTCCCAGTTTGTACTTGTTAATGTTAAATTTTGAACTTGCAAAGCAAATTATTTATTATACGTCCTAAATGGATAAATTAATTGTTCAACTAAAATGGTACATCTTATGTAAAGACAGCCCTAAAGAACAGGTCAACTTGTCACTCAGTGCTTTTTTTCAATGATATACTTTGTTGTGTGTTCTGAATCTATTGACGATTTTCTACAGTTATCACTTAAGTTTCTCAGATGTTTTTGTAAAATACACAAAGCTATATTCTTCTGGTATTTTCTACACTTTGGTGCACTTTTTTACTCACTTTATAAAAAGGAATTTTATGTGCTGGAGATGGAATACTATTGTAAAATTTTCACCTAGAATTATATGGTTATGTTCATTTAATTTATATAGTAATACATACTATGATTATAATTTACAATTTCATTTAACATTGGAATAGTATAAAATAATAAAAATGTTAACTGCAAGCAGACTTCAGACCAAGGATTTACCAATCTATTTTGGTAAAGTACTTTGGTGGGTTATGATTTTGCATAGTACATAGTAAGTACACTATGCAGATGCAGAAAGGATATTTTGTATGTATCTGGTTAATGGACGCAAGTGTATATTCTCAAAGCAGTCAAGCTATCAGTCAGGTGACTTTAGTAAAAATTGTAACTGTAATTTTAGTATTTATAGTTTTGCTGCAAAACCTAAAAGCATTTGATTAAAGTCTTGTACTGATCCTTTTAAAAATGTGCAATCACAATTCTAAACAGAATTATAGAAAAATATTTTTTTTTTATTTTCTAAATATATACATTTAAGAATAGTGTTTCAGAGAATAGATTGCTTTTGGCTGTTCTGAATCTTGATTTTCAGAGATAAGAGCATAATCAGGCCAAATTTGTTACTTGAAAGATCTGAGTAAAAATGTATATCTGTATATAGAATGGCTTATCATAACAGCATTTCAGAGGTTGATGACAAAGTAAATCATCATAAAACAACAAACCTTTGCTACTATGATGCATTTAAATCTCAAAAGGAGTTTCTGTTGTATGTTTTGTGAATGTAATGGTTGATTCAGTGGTTACAAGTTGTAGATGAGCTACAGGAATATTTTCAGTAATAAAATCTGAGATTTAAAGCATGCTGTATAAACCATATCTACTATTGTGTCTTGAGAATTTACCCCAATATGTGTTAAATGTTAATATGTTAAATATGAATAACAAAGTAGTGGGTTATTATTTTCCTGTTTCATGTGATATTACATTGTCCAGTTGTATATTGTGCCATGATATGTTGCTTGTGGTAGTTCCATATGCTTTCCTTTACTGGCACATGTAATATAAAAAATATTTGTAACTTTGTGAGTTTTATACTGATATGTTGTCAGTTTTGAGCCTTCAATCCTCATCTTTATCTGTTTCATCTTTTATTCTAAAACAACTGTTACACTGAATTCATAGGCCTGAAAGGAACAGTATATTATTACTGTGAATGCATTTAATATTCTAGTCAAATGCTTATTGAATTCAATTGAATTCAGAAGAAGCCACAGGAGTGGATTTTGTTTCCCTGAGCAAATTTAGTCTCAAGAGAAAGATAGTATCTTTTATCCTAACAGATGGGCTTCAATTATGAAGGAAGAGAACAGTAGACTTTTTCATTTAGAAACCGTTTGCCTTCTTAATTATATTTTATGTTTTGAAGGTGTGAATAAATATGGTCTTCTGTACGGGTGTTCTTTGAAATAATGAAAATCATAATCTACTGCCTGACCGCTGATCACTGAATGTCTCTTTTTAACTATGGTTATCTCATCATTTCTTCATCTTTGCAAAAAATACTTTTCAAAATGAATGTAAAAGAGACATCTTCATTTTTTTTACCTAGCTCTTAAGTTATTCAGGTGTAAACTTGACTCTGGTTAAAGTATGAGTATGCCAATTAGTCTTACTTGAAAATCGCTGTACCTTTCAGACCTGGAATTTAAAATCGATCTCATCACTTTCATCATTACCTGTTTTTCTTGTTATAATACTTGTAGATACCACGTTACGTTCTTTTTTATATGTGGTGTGGGGCTGTTTGATAAAATTGTCCTTATCTTTCAGTGTAATAAAATTTCTCTGTATGATTTTAAAAACAACCTAAACCTGGACCTATCTTTATTTCAGCCTTACATTTTTGCTTTCTCAATTTTGCTCTCTCATGTTTGTGCTCATTCTCAAAGTAATTTTAATCTGACTTATCCTATTTTTCCTTCGATGTTTATCGTTTTCTTGAACTGTTATTATGTGAAAGGATAAATCTATTTTTTGGTGTGTTTTGAAGTCTACGGAGGTTACATTCCCAGTTCATATTGTTCCCAACATGGTATCTGAAATGGCAATTTCTGATTAAAAGTTGCACAGTTTAGACTATCCAGTGGGGTATATCTCTGCTCACTATAAGAGCATGACTTATCTGCCACAAGTGTGTCACAAACAGGAATCACATCAAGCCAAAGAACTCCAGTTTTTTATTTATCATTGAAGCCATTTTTGATTAAAATGTTCAACCATGTACCCCTAAGCAGTTGTATGCTTGTTTGAACGTCAGAGAAAAGGTGCTAAATGTTGATGCTGAAATATAACAAGCTGTTTGCTGGTTGAGGAAATGTTTCAGGATCTCTAGTGGAATATTCAATGCTGAGATGATGGCTAATTTAAACCAGTTAATGTCTTTTCAAATTTCATTCTTTTAAACTCCCCTGGAATGCACTTTTAGACTCTGCTTATGGTGATATCTCCTGCAATATAGACAACTCATTCCAGATCCATTTCTGAAGGGGCCTGAACCACTGATGAGCAACTTTAGTGGGGAGACTGAGGAACAAGGCTGGGTTAAAGCACAATGAGCACAGTAAAGATGCTGAGTGAGGTTCCAGCACATTTGGTTTTATCTTGTGAACTTGAGCTTGATTGATATTTCATCTAATTCATCACTGTTCTCACACGTCCTGCAGTATCTGCATTATCTGATGATACCTTTTTGGTGTAAATGAAGCTAGAATGCGATCTTAATCAGTAGACGTTGATGGTGTGGAAAGTTATTCAATATTATAAATGAAAGTTAGCCATAGATGGTTGACCATGGATGTCACCACCAGAGATGGGGATTCCAATCACATCTTGAATGTGTGGCAGGGAAGGTACCACATTGTTTGACAAGCCAAAGGGCATTGTTAGATGTCTGTTCCACGAGCACCTGTCTGCTGATGTTGGGTTGGGGACTTTCTGTTACTAGGATTGATATAGTGGTTTCTACACATGACACATGAAGGTCTCCAGGCTTCGATAACTCAGTGCTGGTGACATGACAAAGTATCTATTGGCTAAATTCCCATCCTAGGACATTGGCTTTCTGGTGCAGGATTCTAGATTCTGGGCCATTGGCTGGAAAGTCAGTGATCAGATTTAATTAATAATTTAATTCAGTCTTCTTGTTTGATCATTCATTTGTTCAATAGTAATGAAGTGTTCATAGGGAATTTGACAAGAACACTGATTTATAGCTTTCCTTATAATCTTAGCGTAAAGGTACTTTGAAACATGGATTTCATAGTCTAGTTTTTTTGGTTCTTTTAAGTAAAGAACTGATTTTTTGTTTTCACAAAAGACATTTCTTTACAGCACAGTTGATTAGCTCCCAGTTACTGGAAAAAAATGGAAATGCTAATGTGGTTACCCAGAATTACTTATGAACTGTTAAGTTCTTGGAATCCCTGTTGCACTTTTAAGTGAATGAATTCAAAATATCAGTTTTTGAATGAGAAAAAGCCCAAAGCCGCCAAATTAAAAGCATTGTTTCAGGCTTATTAAATTCTGGGCTTTTTTTAATCTTTAAATTTAGCTTTTTTACTAATCCTCCAGATGTCTTTGATTGGAGAGTCAATGGTAGTAAGTACAGAGGAAATGATGAACTCGAGACATACTGGAATGTGCGAATGTATCAGTGTATTGCTGTGTTGATACTGGCACCATGTATTCAAAATAAATTGTGGGTAGTAATGTTTTTTGTGAGATTTACTAGTCATGGTTTGTCTAGTCCTTTAGTTTCCATTTTCAAAATTTTGGAAGTATCCTTGAATTATATCTTCTACTGCAAAACAAATTTGAATAAACATTTGAAATAAAAACACCATGAGCAATGGAAAAATGTTATATTGCACTGAAATGCTTTATCAACATCTTTAACCTTCTGTTTAATTTTTTTGTTAAAGGTTCATTTACTGAAGTATGTTTGTCCTACTGTGCATAAATAGTTTCATGATTTATCAACATTTGTTTTAATTTCTGCATTTTAAACACATGCAACATGTTTTTCTTTTCCCATCATTCTCTTTCATTGCATAGGCTACAGCTGTCCTAATTTTCATGTTGGCTTGAAAAGTAGTGGCTCTCTATTAAGGAATCCCAGGCAGAACAATCTGCGTATTCCTGAAGACTCAAGTGATGGGTGCCTTTCTGTCCAGGTAGGGAGAAACTTGCTATTTGAAGACACAAGAGATTAAAATCATTCTGGTTCATCAGATGCTGAAAGTCCTGAAATGAAAAACTGAATTCCAAATCTTGTGTTCAGGTTACCTTTTTATTTTTCTATATTTTTTGCTTTTTTCTAACTGGCATTGACATGTCATTCATTCTTGAAGAAAGCTTTTTCTCTTTTAAGGTAACATGGAAAATGAGGCTCCAAACAGCAATGTAACATATTACAAACTTTTTACACAAGTATTTGAAGGTTCTGAAAAACATATCAACAAAAGACATCTTTCACATTTGAAAACATTTTTATGACATGTTCTCAAGAAGTAAGCAGTAACAAGTTTTTAAAAATACAACACTAACAAATGTTTTTTTCCTGATGTTTTGTTAAATATTTAATGTGAGAATGTACACTTCAATACATTTATGAGTAAGGCTTTCTGTAGACTTGTTTATACACACCTGTAGTGTATTACAACAGCGCAAGGTGACAATATTAATTCTTCGCTAAGGCAAAACAGCAAGCAACAGCAAATTTCTGCAGCTCTAAATACTAGACGTTACATTCTTGAAACCATTTTACATGGATTTCTAGAATAAAGATGGAATGTTGGTGCCCAACTAAAATGAAAATTGGCAGTGAGAGGCAGAGTTCGCATAGAGACTGATTGATGCTCCCAGGCTTTGGGCACAGATAGAAGACCAGAATTAGATGGGTGAAGGTTGTGAGATGGAGAGTACGACAACAGTACTTCACACAGGTACTTAGGTACCAAGCCATGCAGAGCCTTGTAGTGAGCATGAGGATTTTGAAGTCAACACAAAACCTGACAGGAAGCCAGTGCAAGGACTCCATGGATAGGAGTAATGTGATCTCATGCACTAAACCTGGTCAGGATTCTGGCTGCCAAATTTTGGACATACTGGAGTTTGTTTAATGTGGATTTAGAAACCCCTGCGAGTAGAGCATTAACAGTAGTCTATTCGGGAGAAGACAAATGTGTTGATCAGTTTTACAAAGTTGATGGGGGGATGCCAATAAGCATGACTTCAATCTTGTCACAGTTTAGATGAAGGAAATTTTGAGTCATCCATGGTTTTATGTGGAAGATGCAATCAGAAAGAATAGAGACAGCCACATCAGTGTCAAGTTTGGTTTGGATGTAGATTTTAGTGTTGTCAGCATAGAAGTGATAGTTGAGGTCATGTGAACTTAAAAGCTGACCAAGTGGGAACATGTAAATGCTGAAACATAGGGGTTCAGTATTGAGTCCTGAGGAACACAAGACTTAACAATTCCAATTTCAGACCTAAATTCACCAAGAGAGATAAAGTGACAGTAATCATTGAGGTTAGACTAAAACCATTTAAGAGCAGTAAGAGAAACTCCAAACAGTCTTAAGATGAGAAAGTAAGATATCATCGTTAACAGTGCCGAAAGCAACACTGAGATCAAGAAGAATGAGGATAGAAAGAGAACCAGAATTGGAAGCCATTAGAAGATCGTTAATGACTCTGACCAGGGCAGTTTCTGTACTCTGAAGTTATCAGAAGCTAGATAGGAGGGGTTCGAAAAGGTTATTTGCAATGAGGTGGTTATTTAACCAATATGTAACAGCATGTTCTAGAATTTTTGCAAGAATAGGTAAGTTAAAAATGGGTTGAAAGTTGCTTAGATTGTCCAGAGCCATGTTTGGCTTTTTTGGTGCAACACCAGTGCTCCAGGATTCATTTATTATATTGAGGACAATGGGGCAGAGAGAAGTGAAACAGGACTGAAATAAGGGGTGGGAATGGGATCTAGTATACAAGTGGTGGATTTCATATGCGAAACCAGTTTACTGATGGATGCAGAGTCAAGGAGAGAGAAGCTGGAGAGAAGGGTAAAATTAGGCAAGCAGGGAAGAGGTGTGGAAGTGACATGTTGTGGTGAGAATGTGATGCCAGATGCTGTCAATCTTGAGCTTAAGAAATCTAAAAATGTGTTGAAAAGTTACGATGAGGCAGGTTGTGTGGTGGGGCAGTTTGGCTTTAGCAGTCTGTTGATGGTAGAGAGAAGGTGTCTAGGATTGTTATGGTTATTTTCAATGATGTGAGAGAAGTAGCTGGATCTTTAAGGTCTATATAGGGTTGGGTCTTCCAAACTCATCCCCCAAAATCCACCTTAATTAAGAGATCTACTAATTATTGAAACTCTTGATTACATTATTCCCTTAACTGAACTAAAGAAACTAGAGTTTTCACATTCCCTGTACTTAAAGCACTCATTGTTTTATTCTTACATCATGACACGGAATTGGTTACTAGGTACCATATTGGATATATACATTAAGACTGGTTTTAAAAGATTAATATGGAAAAATTAGAGGTTTACAAACCTCTGGCACTGTACAGGCCCTGTAATTTCAAACACGATACAACATCTTGACAGGCCAACAAGAGAAATGCCATCAAGAGTTTGTTTGGGATTTTTGTACATTTTTTATCAATGTTTCCAAATTGACATTCAGTTTTCTTTATATTATTTACTTTTATTAGATGTACTTATACTTTCCCATGATTTTCCATGGAAGTTGCTGATGAAAGACAAGCTCAGGAACCTCTCATCCATGGATTATTAGGCTTTCTGAAATATGATCTCTCAAAATGTGAACTGAAAACGCTGAGATACATCCGGAGTTTGGTACCATAACAGAGCTCATCTATGGCAGAGTCTGAGCTGTCTGTTTTAAGCCGCTTAAAAAACTTGCCCCTCATTTGTGAATGAGGATATGCAAAAAATAACTAGTGGGAAAGCTCTTACAAAATGAAAATAGGTAGTGAAAAGAGTTAGTTAAGGGGGCATTGATTGACTGGCATGAGAATTTCAGAATGCTAATTCTTATTGACTGACTGAAAATAGCTTTGCCAGTATTCCCCTGTTCACCTGGCTGTGTGGTAGGAGAAAACCTAGAGTGTTTAATCATTCAAGATAGTGTTTCTATTTTGTTGTAGCTGCCATGCTACTGTGTTACTGTGAGAGTTGGTCTATGGCTGAAATGGCCATGGTTTTATTTAAAATTCATGTTCCACATCTGCCCAAAAAAAAAAAAAATAATTTTGAGAAGAGCGTGTGAATTCCTGTGAGTATCTGGCCATCTACAGAGACACAAATCTATGCAGTTGTACTTTTTAAAGTGAGGCATTCTCTATAATGCTGTTACTTCTCATTGGACTTAGTTTTACACATTTCTCATATTTGACCTTGGAAGGAATGATGGAAGGGCAAGGCTTAAGGATATCCCATGCTTTATTTTTTTACACATTAGCCCCACAATCTCTTAAGACCTGGCCTGTTTTATAGTTAGATGGCCCTTGTTAAACATGCTGCTATTATTGTTCAGTCCTCACATATAATTAATTACCTGTAATTCTGACTGAAATTTATCATAAAAACTAATTTGTGCAAATAAACTAAATTGTAGTTCTAGATTAATAATTAAGAATACAAATTTAACTTTGCAAATGTATGGTTATATTTAGAATGGATATTATTTTTTACCTAGAAAGAAAAGATAAAGTACTACTTAATAAACTGAAAAACTACCACATTTGAAATTTTATGAAAAAGTGCTGCTAATTCTCTTGAAACATTTTTATTTGGTACTTGTTACACTGCTACAAGCATACTGCTTATGAATGCCCTTGAATGCCCCTGGTGAACATAATATAATAGGAGTGATACCCTCAGTTTAAAATAATAAATAGTGATTTTGTGAATTTTGTATGTTTTTTTTGCCATTTCCAAAATGACATACTGCACTATTTATATAAGTTACTTCTTGGCAGATGTACTAATACTTTCTCGCCATTATTTCATAGAATTCCCTGAAGAAAGGCAAGCTCAGGAACCTGTCGTCCATGGAATATTCTCGGTACACATTTTATCTTAGTACAAACGTCATATTGTCACAGTATTCTTTCTGTAAAACTGTTCAGTATTTTTTCTTTTAGCAGGCATTATTACAACCCATAAAAGAGATCATTAATAAGACTAAAATTTCCCTTAGGTTTTTTTTAACTTTACTCCTTGCTTAATGGTTTCCTGTGCAGTGTGTACTACCTGTGTCCATTAGTTCAGTCTAAGGTTTGAGGAGATTGAGCTTTTTTATTTTTGTAACATTGTGCTTTAGCCCTTGTTAAATCTGGCTTTTTTTGTGGGCAACTCCAAGTCATTCCTTTACCACAGATTGGGCAGGTTTCCTGTGTTAAGGTCCAACAGTAAACATTTTGATGCTTAGTTTTTGCAATTTAGCTGTTTAGATGTTGGTTACCAGTCCATCTTTCCTTTTCACTATATTAATTATATAACTGAAAATTAAAAGTTGAAATTTGAAAGAAATAACCCAAACAGACAATTGAAGTGGGTAAGTAAATAACACTTACTTAATTTTAATAACACGTGAATGTGCCTTTCAGTCCTGATCCTGGGTTAGATTTGTACTTTAGTAGATTTAACTGTCTGTCCATTTTATTTTATGGTAAGTTTAAACACTGATTTATTCTCTTTCATATATTTTATTGACATCTACATTGGCTAGATCTGAACTGCAGCCCAGATCCAGCAGAATTCCTGTGAGGAAAGGTGGACTGTGCTCAGTCCAGGGCCTCCTGCGCTCCAACAGTATGGACCAAGAGCTACCGCTGAGAGTGTGGAAATTCATAAAACCAGGATTCAAAAAACAACTGTCCCTTTCAGGTGAAGAGCCATAGGTGCTGTCCTACAAAATGTGAACAAACTAGGAGGAAAAAATGGGTAGGCTTTAGGCTCACATGACACTGCTGTATAGATCACTAACCGAAAGAATACTGTGTGTGTATATATATGTGTGTACGTTGGGGTGTTGGCAATTAACAAATTGACTTTGTTACCTTTGTGTTTTATTCCATTGTTTATGCTGTGAAAGAACACTTCATTTTGCACACGGTGGCCCAAGATTGTCCATTTTTCCATTGAAAAGTTAGAGGAGAAAAGTGCTGTTGGAGTTTTATGATTAACTTTTTTATTTTAAAAGAAATTTGAACTTGCTTCTGTATTTCCCAAATCTGATAGTGACAGAGGTTCCTTCTGCAGAGAGCCAACCAGTGACACTCGGCTCCAGGATGCTCCTGAAGTCCAGGGCTCAGAGCTCACTGCTGGTTAAATCCAGTGCTACAAACCAGGTACTTACTGTAATTACTAATTATGTTCTTTACCAGGGGTATCCCACTCCTGTCCTTAAAGTCTGCTATCCAGCAGGTTATATAAGTCTCTTTAAATTGGCAGCCTCTTAAAGAGACCCCCCTCCTGTCCAATTTAGAAAATAATAGCTCAATTAGGTAGTTATGGGCTTAGGTAGAAGGTAGACCCCAGCTGGAGTTATGCATCCTTGTGCTAAATCCAGTTCTCATTTTTGCCTTTGAGAGGAATGTGGATTCATTGGGATAAAGGAGAATGTTGAGTGACATGGGAGTGGATGGTTAACAATTTTAATTGTTAGATTTCAACAAGATGCAAACATTTTCTTACACTTACTTTGCAGGAATTTACTGGATCCCTATCTGGAATGGATCAGATACTTGTCTGCAGCAAAGTTCCCTTGTGTAGTGAAGCTTGACTGAACTGAAGATATTTGTTAAAAAATTTAAAGTATTATGTTTTTGCATTTTATCATCTCACTTAATATTTTCACGTGAAGTATTCTGCTTTATTATTACAAATTTGTACTAAGTGAATGGAGAAATATGTTTTTTGAGTTGCATTTTTGTACAACACAAGATAAATTGCAACATAATTAAATTGGTACACTATGCAATTGATTTCATGTGCAGCAGAAGACAGGTTTGCAAAATGTTCAGCTGTGTTGAATGGACAGAAAGCACTTAGTCTGAACTGCAGTAAAAATAATGACCTTACATTTTTGCTGAGATTTATTTTAGAGATTGAATTCATCCTGAGGATATGTAAGTTTTCAGAACTGCATTTTATAAAAATTTAAAAAACATACAGATGGGGTTGACAGAATGCAAATGCTCATGTGTCCTTATCAGTTAGCAATATAAGAATAGATTTCATACAAAATGTTAAGATATTAAATGCATCTTCTGTTATGCTACTCAAATATAAGATTTTATATGTGACCAAATACTGTGTTCAGCATTTTCAAATACAAGATTACAGCATTTATAAACTGGATGCTGTGGTATTTAAGTTTTAACCATCCAGAAAAATAAAAGATTAATACTGCTAGGAAACAAACACTACTATTTTTTTCAAAATGTGGCATTTTTATTTTAGTAATCGTTATAGTAGGGTGTGATAGGACTGTCTCAAGAAAAGCTCTCAGAATAACTATACATGGACTCTGTGCACATTAGTTTTGAGTTGACTAGTACTTTATTACTGTTATACATACCCATTGTTGATTTAAACAAATGTATAGTCTTTAAAGTGGAATTAATTTTGTTTACTGTTAACTTTTCACAAACTGCACTATTTGTATATTTTAAGTCAAATGTACTGCTGGATTTTACTTTGTGTATCGTATAGACATATAAACGATTTAAAGAAAATGTTTTTGTTATACAGTATGCTGTAATATATAGTGAGCAACAGAAAAATTGCCGTCTGACTTCATCTCTGTTTAATAAAATACACCTTACTGACCGAGGGATAGAGGAAAAAGATGCGATCCACTATTACTGTAAGCAGAGACCATTCAAATAATTGTTGCTTGTCAAAATAGCGTTGTGTGTCTGAACTAATTTAGGTTTTCCCTAATGTTTGCATTCGCCCCTTTGCACTACATTTTAGTTTTTGTTGTGGACTTTATCTTCTTTCACTCAAATATTCGGTGTTTGTTTAAAAATGCTCACTTGAACAGAATGTGTATACATCCTCGCCCTGGTTTAAGTAATCGACACAGTTAACGTACACAAATTAGACTTTACATAACCTCCAATGGTTCACTTTATAAAATTTTGTATGCAGGGGGAGTTAACCTTAGGCGTAGCGCAGTATGAGTGGAATGTGGTCTCTACCAGCATCTGTTTCACACTTTGGACTTATTTTGCTTTTGCGTACTTTGGGTAATTTCTGTATATTATCGCAGACTTTTTTATTGAAAATTGACAGTAATCTGTATTGCAATTAGTACTGGTCCCTGCGAGTACAAGCGTGGGATAGTTGTAACTATAAGTAATGAATATTAAGAAGAGACGGTTAGTTTAGTCCTTTTGTCATCTTCGTATATTTAAATTAAGAGCGCGGCCTGCTAACTGTTCCTCTGCTCACCCTCCTGACTGAAAGTCTAGCGCTGAGGAACGGGACATTTGGAATAACCATGTCAAAATCAAGCCTTATCTACCCCTTACACAGTGAAGTCAAGAACATACCCAATATTTTTTATTTTGCATTTAATTTTAAACGGTACAGTATAGGGTTATTAAAGTTTTTTAAAAAATATAAATACATTTAAAAGTAATTCTGATTTATTTACTCTGTATTTTTAAGTGCATGGAATCTTGTTTTTATTCTAATTATATGATTTTAAAACATTTTTTCCCCCATTTCTTTCTCCATATATAAACGGGGAAAGTATCCGTTCTCCTTCCACGTTATGGTCTGTTAGCTGCTGCTGCATTCTTGCTCCATGATCAGCACGCAGATCTGTTGTCCTTTGATGGTTAATAACAACTGGGGAGCTTACAGCTCTGCCCTCCCGTCCCTCCTTCCTCACTCCCCTGAACAGCTACGGCAAATAAGAGAGGTTCCCTGCAATATCATGAAAGGCAATTATGCAAGTTTACTCAATGGCTACAAAAGAGCTGCTTCTGACTTACATTTGGGTTATGTAAACACCTGAGGAACCACAAAAATAGGTAAAACAGAAAACCACCTGAGGAACCACAAAAATATGTAAAACAGAAAATGGGTGTATGTCATTTGCATCTCCCCAAAATACCATAGGGCATCATTGTAAGGAGGTGAAAACACTTGCAAGATTCCTCTTCCCTTTTCTTGATCCATTTTGTAACAGCAGTACAAACTACGAGCACTAGAGAAACACCTGAACAGGTAAAGAGAAAAAAGAACAGGAATGAAGTTTGGGATTGTCAACATTAAGTGACAGGCCTGTATACTGAAAGTGACACTCAGTACTCTTCTACAGATTCAGACCGTACCTTCCAATTTTAATTAAATGCACAGATGTTTCTTGTATATTACTTTCTTGCTGTTAATGTACAAAAGTAGTAAAAACTGTTTGTCCTGAATTGTAATATAAACAGTACTGCATAAATGTACTACAGCTAACCATTGAAACTGTAATGTAAAAGATGTCTTACAAGAGACAGCACATCATTCATTTTGTGAGCATCTGGCCTGTTAAATAGAAAATTGCCCTCTAGTTGAATTTTCTTCTGCACAGCCTTATTTGGACTCATTTTGGTATGTATCTGCTCAGACAGCTGTTTTTGAATTGCTGTTTACATAGAAAGGCACTTGAAAGCTCTGATAGTCTCCGTAAACCCTGCATTACATTGCAGAGCTGTGACCTTGCAAATGGCCACAGATTCTAGCTTAAATTAGACTTCATACTGCACAGTCAGAAAACCGTAACTTTCAGGTGCCAAGGAGAGTTGGCAAACTTATTTAAAATCCATCTAGAATACTAATGCGGCTGATTATGACGGGTACAAAAATGCTTCCATTCTTCAGCTGCTCCAAGGACTCCTAGCTGTATTCAGCTGCATCAGGGGTGTTTGATCCTAAATGCTTGTAAAATGTTTTTCATTAATTTAACAAGTGTATTACATTAGAGTGGCCAAGTGGTCCTGGAGGAGAGCAGTGTTCACATTGTGATCAAATTTAATAATTTGTCACTTATGAGTTTGCACTATGTAGAGCAATTAGGATTACACTAACATTGTTAAACAAGACATTATCCAATCCAGGGGATTTTTTTTGTTTGTTTTTTGGTCCTGTTTCATCAGGAATATATTTGCAGCTGTAGAGCACTGTATATATAAATGACATTTTAATAGCTTGCCTCTGTAATCAAAGAGAAAGAGGAATGAAGTGACCTACACTAAGATCTTTGATATACTCAAATCGTTTTCCTGTAATGTTTACTTTGTATGCTGGTCTCTTGAACTAAATCACTATCAAATTGAACTTTTTCTCAGTTTTTTTATTTAAGTAGTACAGGTACCTGCTAGTTACTAATTAGGTGTTATCATTAAAATGATTGACAGAGACCTAATTTATATGTATTCATTTTGACCTATAAATGCACTCTTAGGAACACAGCTACACATTTTTCAGAGTATTGACCACTGCTAAAGTGCATCTCTGCCTTTTCTGAGGTTTTAATAGTTTTCATTGTTAATCCTTAATATACTTTTTTATATTAAAAAGTATCATAAAAATGTTGATTTCACCCACTGCAGCACAGATTGTTCACCCACAGCGGTTCTGAATTTTTAAAGAATTCATAATTTATTCACACCTTTTCCCATACCAACAGCAAAAACATTTACAGGGGCTTTGCAGTTGTCCTAGTGTTCATAGCGGCGATCAATGGTCTTCTCAAGCATCAGTCAGCAAAATATGGTCCCCAACTTCAACCTGTCAAGGAATCAAATGAAAATGTAATGCTGAAAATACAATTCTAATAATAAGCAGTGCTGGCATTTGCATAATGTTATGAATCCCAAAGAAAGCTCCCATTTTATTTGCCTATGTTATGCATGGGTGTCAGCAACTACAACTATGCACCAGTAACTCCACTACACATCTGGTAAGTGAAGAAGTGAGAAACCACCAATAGAATTAAGGGGGAAGTTACAAAGAGACCACATTATGTGATTCCAGAGTGGAATTTAGCCAGGACACACCTATTCCTACAAAACCACGGGAGATTACCACCACAATGTGGATGCTGCACATTGGTGGTGGTGGAGGGGAGTCCCCATTACCTGTAAAGCGTTTTGGAGTGTCCAGAAAAAGCGCTATATAAGTGTAAGCAATTATTATTATTATTATTATTACATTATATGTAGATTGACGATGCTTCTGAAATGTGAATATTTTCAGATAATCCAAGAAACCCCAAAGTAAGAAGTTTACAAAGTCTGTGTGTTCTGCCACATGTATTTAAAAAAGCAAAAACATGATGACACAACATGTATAATAGGAAAATACTGTATGTTCTGTTAACGTTTATAACATTTATGTTGCAATTTGATGAATCTGCATTTCAGTATATTAGAATTACTGGAAATCAAACACCAAGATACTTTCAAAGACAAGTCTACATGCAAATGTTTAAAAGACAATTTTGAAATTTGCATTCATATTTACATAATGGTACAAAAGACAAACGGCAGTCTTCATGGTCAAGCGACCTAAAGCCGGACCCACCTTGCCCAAGCGAAGGTGAGCAGTTGTCCGTTCACTCCAGTTTCTTTGGGTTGTTGACCGCCACGTAATGATAAAGAACAACCAGGAGGAAAAGGGAAACCCCCAGCATGTTGGCGAAAATCGCCAGCTGCACGTCAGTCACCATTCTGTGAAAATTATATTAAAAAAAATCTCGGTTTAATAACAACTACAAACACCAGCATTGATGCATTTCTTGTAAAACCAAACGACGCGTTCATTAATTATTCTCGGTATTTAAGTTCCATAATACCCACGAGTGAACCTTTAACAAGCCAGTGTCTTCAAGAGTTAATTTACAATATTCAATCTCCCATTACTAAGGACATTTTACTTCAACCGGGGACAATTTACGACGTCTAGGCTGGTGGCACAACATGTACAATATTTCTGTGAAAGTATTATAAATAATGTAAATCTGTTTTTGGGCATTACCTTGCAGCACCTCGATGAAGACGAATTTCTGTAAAGGAAAATCTTTTGCTTTTAAACCTAGACCTTTCCGGCTATCTCAGCCACGTCACGTTAGTAACTATAAAGAAACTACGCGATGATTGATATCGCGATTTACGCCACTTCCGTAGGTCCCCATGAGGAAGTTAGTGGATGACGCATTGTCACATGACATGGGTCTTTATTTGCTCAGAAATTAGAAACCATCAAATACAGTTTTTCAGTTACTTAAGTTTGTCTGTTTTTACTTAGAATGTTTATTTCTAGCAAAAAGTTTTCTAACAGTGCCAACGGAGAAAAGTTTGTAAATTATGTTTCACGTGAATGTGGAATATTGTCCCTGCTTGTTACATAAATAGAACACTTCTTTATCGTATTGGAGATATTCAAAATTGTACACAGTATTATCTATGTAGCTAAGAAACTTTAAGAAATCGCGGGCATTTTTTTCTATTATTAAGTTGAACAAAAAACTGTTTTGATTCTAGTCGGCGAAATTCTTTAACATATCTTTAAAGATTTAAAAAATTAACATTCCTTTAGAATTCGTTATCTCTATAATATTACAACTAGAAATTGGACACTTTTTATGTTTTTGTCTGCTATGGAACGTCCTTAAAGACCCAAGCGGTTTACTGTACTATACACATAAACAGGACATATAATTATATGCTTAGTGTGTTATTGTAAACATCAGTATGCAAATCCTGGTGATATGTACTTAAAATAAGAATGGTCACAAACAAGAATCAATCATTCATCCTATTAGCTAATTTACCCAAGGATCTCATCCAGCTGTTCTTCGAAAAGAAGCCAGAATATTGACTTCAACAACATGGCTGGGTGACTTGTTTCATACTTTTGGGTGAAGAGGTCCCTCATGTTTTTGGTTTTAAATACACTTTCACATAGTTTCCACTTGTATCCTTTGGTTTGTGTTTTAATGTTCAATCTGAAGAAGCCCCCTGGGTCGAGTTTGTCAGTATTTTTTTGTGATTTTGAATACTTGTGTCAGGTCCATATTATTTGTTCAAAACTAAAAAGGTTCTGTTCCTCTAGCCTGTGAGTGAAGCACATACCTTTCAGCCCCAGAATATACATGGCCTTACTAGTTCATTGTACAATGTTCACAAAACATTCCTCAATTTAAATTATGCTTTTAACTGTATTCCCTAACATTTTGTTAGCCTTTTTAATACTTTGTCACACGGTCTTAAAGATGACAACATAAACAACTATGTTTTTCCCATTTTGTACTTATACTATATATTTTTACTAGCTGCTTGTAATATCATGCAAATGTTTGCATTAAATGTCATCTGCCCAGTTTTGACTTTTCTCTCAATCTTCTTGAATTTTATTTGGTACGTTTTTAACTATAATCCTTGCTTAACCTCTGAATTTGGTATCTTCTGCAATCTTGTCTAGTTTACTAAACAGAATATAGATCATTGATATAAGTTAGAAAGAGCAGTAGTCCTAGTACAGATCCTTGTGGTACTCCACTAATTACTTAAGTGCAGTTTGAGTATATGCTCCTTATCTCTACTCTTTATTTTCTATTTATTAACCAATTCTTAATCCAAACGCAAATTTCTCTAAATCTTTATTTTCTATTTATTAACCAATTTTTAATCCAAACACAAATTTCTCTAAATACCTGCTGATTGTAATTAGATAATTTATTTTTTATATGGATTGTGATCAAAAACCTGAAAATTAAAATACATCATATCTTATCCTCTCTTGTGTGTTCATTACTTCATCTATCCATTTTCTTATTGCTTCATCCAATTCAGAGTTGCGAGGGAGGTTGTGCCTATACAAGCAAGGCAGGATACACCCTTGACAAGATGCCAGTCCATTGCAGGGCAGACGCACAGACATGCACAAACCCACACCAGATCCAATTTTCCCAGAAGCCAGTTAACCTACTACTATGTCTCTGGACTGTGGGAGGAAACTGGGGCACCTGGCCAAAACGTGCACGAACACAGGGATAACATACAAATTGTGAGCAGATCCACCCCAAGTCTGGAAATGAACCCATGGCGCCAGCGCTGCGAGACAGCAATGCTAACCATAGAAACAAGTTGGTTGGGCAAGACCTACCTTTTGAAATCCATGTTGGCTATTTCCTAGAAGCTTATTTACTAATATGCCATCTATAAGTTCTGTTTCCATACCTTTAGATGTAGTAGAAGTCACACTTATTGGTTGGTTTAATTTCATCACCCTTTTTATGGGTGGGCACTATATCAGCAATTTATTTCATTAGCAGGTCATGGAAACTATCTTGAGCAACTGCTACAAGAGTTGCATCAATATTATGTGAATAACATATCTTGGTTCATCGACTGGTGCAACTTGTAGGATACTGTTGAGCTCTGGCGATTTATTAATCCTGCAGGCTTCGCCATCCTGAAACATTCTTTCCCTTTTATGGTAATACTATTTATATAAATAATGTTACCCACTTTCACTGCCTCAGTCATGTTTGTGTACAAGAGAAATACTAATTTGATATATCAGCCATTTACCTTAGACGTTTCCCATTATTGTTATGAATGTATTTTGCTTAATCTTTTATCGTTCTTTTGCTCCAATAGTACTGAAAAAATATTTTTAGGCTTCATTGCAATATTCGTATTACAGCTGTCCGTGAAATAGTAAACACGTAAAGGACCAATAACGATGAATTACAATAGTTGTATTAATACAGACATTTAGAACTTGATGCGGTCCCTCGATACCACGGCGTCTTTGCATAATTTCTTAATCAGTGTTGCGCCAGTTTTTAAACACCTTTTAGACTGAACAATTAAAACCAGATCCCCTCCAAACAGCTAGATGTCGCCCTTTCCCCGATCGACATGTCGAACTGACGTCTCCCGGATGTGTTTCCGCTAGGGGTGTGGCCGGCGCTACTGGCAAAGAGTCGGTCGGCGTGACTGAAGCAGTAGACCGGAGAAAGGCATTGCGGGAGTAGATCATTAGAGCAAATAATAGCGTATTTATTAATATCTTTTTTAAATTATAGACTCTGGGAGTCGAAACAACGGCCGCCATGGCTTTTTACGAGTATGTTACTCAGGAGCAATTAGCAGGTTTTGACAGGTACAAGGTAAGGAGATTATTATATTTATTCATTATTTTGAGCCATCTCGTGTGCGATGAATGACTTTGAATAAATACATGTTATCGTTTCCCTTAACACTTATTAGCAGGTAGGTTCCTTTTTAATATCGTTTTTTTTTCCACGTACAGTATTCAAAGTCAGAAAGGCTCGCGGCGACGTGAGGAGTTAAACGTGCTTGTTCTTACCTTTTAATTTAAACAGTAGATTGCAATATGCTTTTCTGATTTTGTGCCTTCACGCATGATCTTCACCTTTTCTTGCCGGCTACAAATTACACTGCTTTAGGTTTATTCTTGTACTCCACATTCGGCAGTTAACTGCAAGTAAGCGCAGATTGAATGTGCTTTGTGGTACTCTCGGTTGCTGTAACCATGAGACAGAGCAGGGCTGGGGCTGCAGATAAAAACTGTTTCCTTTCTTGGGCTTCCTATTAAGAAGTATCTAATCTTTTACAGCGTCGCACGATTGCAACAAAATGGCAACAGTCGAACGAAGCTTTTCCTAAATCTTTTTAAAAACAGGAGAAATGATTTTCTTCCCACTGAACTTGAAAATAAATGTGGACTGAATTATAGAAATGCCGACTCCTCCGATGACTTCAGGCGCTGTGGGTATTGCTCCACTCTCCCTTCTTGTCTTGGACTGTTCTGTTCTGGCAAAGAATATTGTACCTCTACAGTGACTGCAATATCATTGAGTTTGCTGTTGTTGAACTCTTTATCTCATTGATTTTGTTAAGGACCTTTCTCGGCTGTGAGCATTCATACTGTTTGCTCTTATATTTGGTCTGCCGCTTTAAATAAACCCTTCAGTAATTTGACACGAAAGCTCGCACTTCGTCTTTTTATGGAGGTTAGAGCATCCCCCTTTTCATTCATTATTTCCACTTACGACATTTCGGTGTTTCTAGAGCTTGTATCTGGTATTAAGTGGATATCCTGCCTTAACCTTCACTTTCATCGTAGCTCTGGGAGGTGCCTTCTCAAGATACGGTTTGTCGTCTTTCGGTGAACGAGACCGGACAACATCATAAAGGCTCTGCTGTATCACGTGTAGTGATTAATTATAAGAAAGCGAAGTACAGAAGTGCTACAAAACACTACACAGGTTTGCCAAAGTCTACACGTATAGACTCTAAAGAGCTTCTCCTTCTCTCCATGGTAGCACTTCAACTGGCTCTCTGAAAGGTGCTTTAACGTTACAACATATTACACAAGCCGCGTACTTCTGGTAGGATTTTAAACAAAATGTGCAAGGCGAGCTAAGCTTTCAGTGTGAAATCCTTGGGAATTCCGTTGTACAGTTGCACTTACCTTAGGTGCCTGTTCTCTGTATAGAACACCAAGCACTGATACGGGGGAAGCATCAGAGATAAGAAAGGGTCCTTGCTAGTGGACTACTGCAGCAGAGACGTTACTAGCTCAGCTGTTCATTCCGATCTGACATGATTTGGTAAATTTGAAAATCAGACGTTGGTGGGATAACAAAACTCTGCAATGGTAGCTAAAGAAATCTGAGATGTATATTTTATCACGACTGATTAATGTAAACAAGTGCAAGTTTTAAAACTGTTTTACTTTAAGTTGACAAAGATACAACAGGCACCAAATTCATTGTTTTCCCCACAGACACTGAAAGCAGAGGGTGATTAATGGGAACTAAATTGCATATTTTAGTATTCTAAAAGACTTGCATCCTTGGAAGGATTAATAAAATTGATTCTAAATAGTTTCTCTCTTTGATAAAAATATGGATTCTCCTATATTTACCCACTCAAAGTCAATTTAAAGACTATAAAATAAATTACAGTACAGTACTATGTCACAAAAAAGCATTTCACTTTTGTCAGCTTTGTGGCACTTAAACATCCATTTCCTGTCTCCCCAGTTTACACTAAGAATAACAAGAACCACTGTGTGGGAAGTGATTTCTAGTTTAACAGTTCCCAAGTAAAATCTGGTGACATGGACAGTCTGCATCCTGTTCAGTCAGGTCTGAGTTTAGGATGAGTAGGAACTCCGTTTCCTCTGTCTCTCTGTAACAGCCCAGTACTGTTTCATTATCATTGAAATGATTTTAATGTAGTTTCCTTTCCTTTGACTGGCCTTTATTTTATTAAAGTCTGTGAATTGAACTATTGCAAAACCTCAAACACAAAATACTGTTTTCTCATCTTCAGGTACCTGTGTCCCATGGATACATTGCTTGTACAATTTATCACCCAGACACCAAATTAATTTTTTTCCACAGACATTAAAAGCAGGGGACACTTAATGGAAGCTAATTGTTTATCAATTCAGGTTATTTCAGCAGTATAACTCTGGGTGAAATGAGTACCTTTTTAAGTCAATGAGCTGATTATTTTCTAAAGTTTAATGTTTACCAGACTATAAAAAATGTGCAATTGGACAGGAGAATCTAAAGCATTCTCGTTCACATCCAGTGCTGAGAGTACCGAAGCTGATTAGTGTTGGGATTAGAGTCTGTTGGTTTGAATACTGCACTGTTCCTGAACAGATTGTACTGGCACACACTACTGGATTAGAATCTCTTTTGGAACATCAACTTCTTGCTTTTCCATAGCATTTAATGTTCATGATTTCAGCATCTGGCTTTCTCGTGGCAAGACTTCTTTTGGATTGTTGCCTGACTACTGACATATGTTCACTGTGTACAGATCCTCATGGTGTGGTTGTAGGGCTTGTATGTCTTTACAGAGGGACGAAGACCCGTTTCACATTGCCTTAAATGTGGATTTGAGAATTGAGGTGTTGCTCCTACCCAGTCTTCGGTGATGTAGAAATTGTAGAAGTTCACAAAAGCATTCATTGTTTTTCAGAGTGGGTAATATTTAAATAGTGACCCTCATTAATCCTTGTTATGCACTCTGCTTGCAGTAACATTTGGTTTATAATGGATGTTAAGTAATGGATGTTTAATTTAGTGAATTTTTCATGAGATAACTTTAACACAAGTTTAAGTATCTTTTTCGTAAGTGCTAAATATTGGAATGTAATTGTTTCTTCCTCTGCAGAGTAGTTAGCATTTGTTGTATGAGAATGTAACAGCTAAATAACTAGGTTAGTGTACCAGTATAATGTCCCTTGACACACGCAGCTTCATAAATATAAGTAACCAAGATCTCTTCTGGGTCGTCTGCATGTCCACCCCTTTGAAGATGTCACAGACTCTCAAAAAGTCTCCTTTCTTTCTTAGTATTGAAGGAACAGTATATAAACCAAGCAGGTCCATTTTTGTTTCTCACTTTCCTAATAACCCTCAATCAGTGAATGTCATATAAGGATCACACCCATAAAACCTTAATGTGCCCAGTTTTATTGAAGCTGTAGATGTACTTGTATTATTTATTGTACTTGCTTATGCATGGGTTTGGGTCATCAGAGACCCAAACCCAGGTAAAAACCCTTAAAATTTCCTGCTGTCCCAAAAGAAGCTCAACACTCATCTTTATTCTTGTTTATAGTAGCCCCGGTCTTTAAAAAGCCGAAAAGAAACCAGTCACATAGCATAGGGCCTCAAAGAAAGTTATTTGCATAGGGTTTTTAATCATAGGAGAAATGCAGTTTTGAACAGCAGCTGTACTCCCAAGTGGCACAGCCAGTAGGAGATGTCTCGCCAGATGCTGGCTTAACTCTCTGATTCAGGCTTTGTGAGTTTGAGTCTGGTTTATGTCTGACTTAAGACTGTGGTGCTTCCCCAAGCAGCAGCTCACCGTTGGCTTGGCACTGCGGCGGTAGTGTTTAAATGCTAGAGAAAGTTGCTAAACCAGTGAGGCAGGATTGCAGGATTCTGTCACTCCAGCAGCTATAGGTGGCATGATCTTGAGGCAGTGGTGTGGCTCATACTGTAGGAAACACTGACATGAGCATGCAATGCTAGGACTTACCACTACTGTTGAATTGAGTGAGATTGACAGGGGGATTCAGTCCCACTGTCGGTCTGTCCAAGGGCCTATACACTTTAAAATTCTGTAGAATGTGTGGAACAGGGAAAGGTGTGTGTGATATCTTGATTTGGAAATGTGTGTAAATTTATCATTTTAGTTCTCCAGATGTTTTCTTTTACCCACCCAATGTGCACTTGCTAGATTTAAGGGCAACATTTTGTCAGCAGCTCCAGTGCCCACAGGCAGAGAGTGAGGACCTGTAGATTAGTCCCTCCACCATGCCCAGCTCCCATGTTGTGTACACTCGATGCTGCACAGTGACTTACAGGAAAGTTGGTAACGACTGCCTGACATTGGTTAATCATAATATTGTTAATTCATGCTAAATTAGCATCATGGCTGCTGCCCTTTCCACAGGCTAGTTTTTACCCCAGTCTGTGAGGAGCTGCAGATCTTGCAGTTGATCTTGCAGGTCTCTCTTTGTCCTGGTCTGTAGTTCTAGATTCTCCTCTGTCGTGCGCTTTACTCAAAGCTAAAATAAACCAATTCTCTTTTCACAAAACACTGTAGGAAGTCATAGGAACGAATATCTGGTTTCTTTTACAGAAAATATTTACCGTTTGCGTATTGGAATTCTGTCTCTACTGGCAGATCCGCTTGGGACTTGAAACACACGGGATACTGGTGCTTAGAGAACATACATAACAGCCCAGAGAGTATATTGTAATTGATGTCATGCTTTGTAATTAATCTTGCTGATTCGGTGATGGCAGATATGGTGAAGCAGGAATGATAATGAAAAACTGCTCTGCCAAGGGCTGCTGAGTTGTGTCAAGGGTAGCTTATCTCACTGCTGTAACTTGGCCGGAGGTTGTGTCCAACTGTCGTTTAGAAGAGTAAATTCATAAAATCATGCTGCTTCTCCTACAGCACACAGGGCAATAGATTTAGTGTTACCAATTAGTGCTGTTTTGTTCCTGAATATTTGTTTAATAGAGTTGGGAATTTCTTGTTCATGAAATTAAGTGGTGTTAATTGCTTCATTCCACTCTCTGTATATTTGTCTATATGGTTTGGA